TGCTATTTTACAGCCAGCGCTCAGAGTTTCTGTGACTGTCCCCTAGCCACAAAGCCAGTGAAGAGTAGAGCCAAATTCTGCAGGCCTTTGCTCTTCACCTCTGGCTACATTGCCTGCTGGGGAGGGAGGCAGAGAGGATGACAATAAGTTTGCAGTGCAGAGTGTGAGTTTTTGACCTGAAAAAAATGGTGGAATGAAATGTGATCACTATCTTCATATTATTCAGATGTTACCACAAAAAGATGGAAGTTGGTCTCTTCAAGGTGACCCCAAGAGGGTATGAGTACATCCCTGATTTTGTGCTCACTGAAGAGTCTTGGAACAGCGCAGCTCTCAACAGTGGGGTCAGCAAGAAGTGGACACCTTTCACCAGCAGGTGGCTCTCCAATTTTAACTTTTAACACACAAGGGGTTTGTTTTTACAAATCAAATCCCTGTTCCAGGGATTATCAGCCTGTAAATGTGAAACAGAGATCTAGGAGCTGAACTTTTCAAGTAAATGCTCCTGGGTGAATCTGATGCCACTTTCTGAGCTGACAACCCTAGTTGTTTAAGAGGGGATTTTTTCATTGTAGGAGAGCTTAGCCCGCATAACTGCTATTCCCCCAGAATCTCTGAAGCCAGTACAGTCAAAATAAAACCGTGACTACTGGGAATGTAATAGGATTGCTTTAGAAAGGGCTGTGAGGGACTGGAGCCATTTGGAAAAAATGGCAATATCGCCATCTGGTGGACTGTTTACAAGCTTCTTACACTCATTTACCCTAAAATCGCAGACTGATTTTTCTAATGATTGTCTACATTTGCAGAGCATGAATCAGACCCACAAAGGCCAGACAGGACACAGAGCCTGTGTCCACGTACAGCAATTCACAGTCATTCCTTTCTCCTCAAAGGCTGGAATTGCACTGATCAATTCCAAGACCGATCCTATGCTTATCTGTCACACAATTTTCCAAGTTTTCCTACAGCAAGTAATTTAAGTTTCACTTCTTGAGGGCTATCTATTTCACTCCTAGAGAGTTATTAATTTCAGAATCCTTCAGTACTGTTTTTCTCAAAAGACAGGAAGCTGCATTTAAAAATTCATAAAATTTACATGTGAAATTAAGGGCATAGACCCTAATTTCATGTATTACTTTCAACTCCCCAATACTTAACTATTGACTATTAGTTAAGCCTACAATTGATCAGTCTTACTGATGACTTAAACCATAGATTAACATATTTTGTATGATGTATGTATTATATACTGTACTTACAGTAAATGAAACTAGAAGAAAGTGTTTTTAAGAAAGCTATCAACCTCCCTTATCTTAACTGAACTATCTAAGGTGGCATCTGAAGACACATGGCAGTTACTCAGTCATGCTGGATCTCATGTATACCACACTGAAAAATATTATAAAAAGAATTTACAGGACTCTACTGTATTTATCAATGCTGTATTAGGTGTGCATCATGTTATCAAGAAAATCTGGTTATAAGTGAACCACACAATTCAAATCAGTGTTGTTCAAAGATTGAATGCAATTTTTTTTTTTTAAGATTTATTTATTTATGAATACAGAACTGGGGTACAGGCCAGAGGCTCGGGGCGGTGAGAGGCTTCACCAGAGACAGAGTGGGGAGCAGAACAGGCAGATCGATGAAGTACACTGCTGAGGGGAGCAGTGAGTGGGTGGGTCAGTAGAGGTCTGCCACACCATGTGGTCACCTCCGGGGCAGGCGGGAATCGAACTCATGCGGAAGTGGCTTTAGCTTCTCAGTGCAGTGCTTTAACCCGCTGCGCCACCAGGGAGGGCCGAATGCAATTTTTTTAAAGTTTATTTATTTATGCATATAGAACTGGGTTACAGGCCAGAGGTGCAGGGGCAGTGAGAGGATTCACCAGAGTGGGGAGCAGAACAGGTAGCTCGACTAAGTACACTGCTGAGGGGAGCAGCGGGCGGGTCAGGAGAAGTCTGCCATGCCATGTGGTCACCTCCGGGGCAGGTGGGGATGGAACTCATGCGGAAGTGGCTTAAGCTTTTTAGTGCTGTGCTTTAACCCACTGCGCCACCAGGGAGGGCCCCAAATGCAATTTTTATTAGTGATGACTAAGTACTCTCATCAGAAACTAAGAGGAAACAAGACAAGCTGTGTATATGCAGGGAAGCTACAACATTTCTTTATTTCCAGAAGTGTTAAGAAATGAGTGGCTGGGTAAAACAGCTCACCATGAACCGCTGCCTGTATACTTCATGTGGGGATGTTACATTCTAGCACCTATTTACAGTGGTGTGCACACACACACACACAAACAGGCACAACTTCCCAAAATGCATTTGGGCTGTGTAGATAATGTACAGAGGCATGTCTTTGGAACGTTGATTTCCAAAGACACAAGTCTTTGGACTGATGTACTATACTAAAGTACAGTAGCAGAAATTACCCCTTTAGTAAGAAGTGGATTTGTATTCAATAATTTATGGTAGGCAATTGTAACCAATGAAGAATTTGCAGACAAATTGTCACCACTGCTCCCAGGGAAACATTTACTGAACTGACTCTTCTCCATCCTCCTTCCTGGACTGGTCTGGATGCTTAGCATAGTCTAAGTATCATCTCCACTTTTAATCCCCTCAGTTGTTTTATATGAGCAGTCGAATCTTTTCCCAGCCTTACATGAAATATGAAAAACTATAGGAGTTCCTATTGCATATTCTGGCCAGATTAGCACACCTTAACTTGTTACAGAAATGCTAAAGGTACCTCAGAATACATGCACTAATGTATTTTGCCTTTCATTACTTATTATAACAGATAGTGCTCCCTCACCAAGTTTTATTCCATTGGTTGTGTCATATTTACCAGACCTCTCATGTATGGCTAAATAAATACTGGAATTGTTTCTCTTTTCTCTGCTAGTAATTCTCAAATTAGAAAATTAGTTCTGGAATTAGGGTCGGGGATGGAAGAGCCAGAGAAAAAAGGTTATTAATGCATTTTAGTTATAAGAAATATTGTTCTCTCTGATTTAACACTTAGTCTTTCAAAATCTTGTTTCTTCTGATTTCAGTGAGGATGTCATGTGTTGAAAGAAATATGAAAACAAGAACTAACATGTTTGGGAGTTTGAAAGAAGTTTTCATTTATTGTTCTCACCTGTAAACATGCCATATTCTCTTTAAGTCACTCCATGCAACTAAATGACATCATTTTAGTTTAGCACTAATTTTAATAGATGCAATTTTTAAACATACTTACTACTAGACCTTTATTTTTCAAAGTAGCCAATAGATTTTAGATTAAGAAATTATATGTTCAGTCTCTTCAAAATCCACTCTGTGGCTATTGGTCCCCTAACTACCTCCTACCCTCACTAGTATTTTTTTTAGAAACTGTCAAGCAGCTCTCCCGTGTGGCTAACTCAACAGGACCTCAAGTGCACCTGTCCGCCCTGCCTAATGTTGTGCATGGATGAGCACACTCCCCACTAAGGTCAACAAACAAGTCAGCGGAGCACAGTGCACTCTGTCCTGCAAATAACTGCAACCCACTACTGTTTCAAGTAGAAGCTACAAGAAGCCCCACGCCCGGTACAAACATGTACCCCACCCCTGTGTCAAGCACATTTCCTGTTTTTCTCTGCACATAGAGGCCCTATATATACCCATGGGTGGTCCTAATAAACATACACCAGACTCCATACCCCAGGCTCCTGCTTCATTCTCTGGAGTCTCCAAGTCTCCTATGTTAGGGCCAAGGTCAACACACTCTTGGTGGGTTAGTAACACTCCCGAGGCCACCAGTTCCCTGGCATCTGTCACAGAAAGAGCGCTTTTCCCACAGATGTTGCATCACATGGTGGGCTTAGAAATGGAATGGCTAGTGCAAAAAGTGAATGGAATATTTCTTCCATCGGGCTCAATCAAGTTTCATTGTAAAGATTTCAGTTAAAGAAGTTCTAATGTAACAGGGAATTAATGTGCTTTAAATTGCTAGAAGAGCTGGAGAAGCACTGAAGCCAGAGATGAGCCAGAATTCCTCCCCTGTTGGCCAGCTGCTGCTTCTGCCACAAATGGAAAGCCAGCAAGTAAGAAAACCATGTCCCGCTGTGGGCCGTGGGACTGCCCACCTCAAACACAAGGCAGGTATGAGAAAACTGCATGGTTAGCTCCAGAACTCACTCCTACAGCTGCCTTCACACCAGCACAGTTCCAAGCTAAATCCTTGCCTGCGTGCATATGACGGGCAGAACTTGAATCAAGTCTGGGGCACTGACTGTCGTTTACGTGTGGAAATAGTTTTTCACTTCCAGCCTCTGTCACCTACAAATTTGCATCAGAAAGAGAAGTCAGGATGGATGCTGTGCCAACCAATGAGAATCTCATCACATCTGCTTTATCACATATACTTCAACTATCTTTCTCAGTAGCCTCCTCTAACTCATGGAGAGAGTTGTCTTTTCTCCCTACCTTCACTTTCCAAACTCCCTCAGTCCATTAACTCAATTGCACCCCTTAGTTATAGCCATATGCCCCTGATCACCGGGCCTTTTCGATCTCTGTGCTTCCTTTTTCCTCCCATCCTTAAAAGAGTGTTCCTCTGCTTTTGGCCTCTCGCCTCTCTGTATACCACTTAGGTGATCCTGTCCACTCACGTGGTGTATCTACCTTGTACAGTTAACCTCCCAAAACAAAACTCCAGCCCTGAGATCTTTCCTGAGGAACATAGTCACGCATCTCGCTGCTTTCTCAAAGTACCACCTGAACAATACCAGCATCTTGAACCCACTGTGTCCAACAGTCAATTCATCATCTTCCTCTCAAAATGTATTCGCCCCCTGTGTAAGCCCCACATCACCACTTACCAAAGACAGGATCTGATCTCCAGGGGATTAGAGTCTTCTTTCCCTTTCTATTTCTACATTCAAACTGCCTTTAAGGTCCATGAATGCCGGGAGTCTTTTCCTTGAGTTTCCTGACATTTAACAGATACACTCTTTAACAAAGACATCAGGCATATTTGGGGCACTTTATTAGAAATTATTTACACATCAATGCAGTCACATCAAAGTAAAAGTACTGTTTTCACATAATATTCTGGTATTCTGGGCTATCTTCTTACATAATTTAGCAAATTCAAGACATTTCTGATTTTGGTTAAAGAGCTTAAATGGTCCAGAGATCGTTCTACATAAATATAAGTCAGCATCTAAAATAACCATCACTGTTTTGAGTTGGTTCCCAAAGTCTTGGGACCATCTCTGAAAATACAAGTCTGTACCTTCTATTGATTGCACTGCTAGTTGGAGGAAGTAAAGGAGGAGGCCTAAACCTAACAGGAGCCAGGCAGAGGGACAGCCCTCTTCTGGTGTGAAGCATGCAAGGGGTCAAGGGGGGGAGGTCCTGGGAACTGGCCAGGGAACTCAGCCACCTTGCATTTTCCAAAATTACTTGAGTGTCAAATCAGTGTGACTCCAGTGCAGAAAGAATCCCATGGTCCCATCTCTGTTGGCATTGCCAAGAAATGAGAGCGCCCTCCAGACTGCCTAGCAGCAGAGATTCTGACTAAAGAAGGTTCTAGAAAATTCTATCCACTCTCGCTGCTACACTCAACACCCTCCTAACTCAGAAAACATGAGAATATAGAAAATGTTGAACGAGTGTGCTGCTAACCCTTGGAATGAGGTCAGTGTGACCCTGTTTGCCTGTGGGGCACTGGTAAAGTCTGCATTCGCCAACTGTCCCCCTTTTCACTCCCCCTTTTCACCTTGAAGAGCATCATCAACAATTAGGTTCTTCGGTTTTTACAAAGTTTCTCAGCCTTTGGCAATAACACCTGGTACCTGTGCTTGCTTTACTGCTCACAGCTCTGACCTCCACAAAGTGACTGGTTCTCACCACCCTAGGAGGTAGGAAGACACAAGAATCATGATTCCCACTTGAAAGAAAAAACCTGGGACTCATATATTTCGGTCCCTCAGCCTCACACAGCTAGCCAGTGGCAGAATCCAAACCAGAACTCGAATCTCCTCGCACATGTCATGCCCCAGAGTCCACACTCCGAAGTCCCTGGTGCTGATCTCTAAGGAAGGGGATGAGGCTGAGAGGGGGTGCTGTCCTCAGCCCCTACCTGCCCTGCCCGGGAGGTTCTCAGACCGCACCATTGAGGACAGGATGAGTCCTCATGCGATAGATGATGACCGCAGTGGCGGGGCACAGCAGCAAGGACGTCATGATGATGATGGTAGCTAGGATGATGAGGACAATGACCCAGATGTCCAGGATGTGCTTGGGGAGCACAGCTTCCATGGGGACTTGACTGACGGCGTCCATGTTGCTCCAGTCTGCAACAGACAGAGAGAGGAAATCACTGCTTTGCACCCTCTATCCTGCCTTCCTCGCTGGACAGAACCTGCTGCAGGAGCCGGACACAGAGGTCACTGGTTAGTCAATCCTAGTGGTAAAGGCCTGGTTTACTGAGGGCTTCCTCTGTGCCAGGTGCATGAGGCAGGTTCATGCAGGAACTCACTCAGTCTTCACTGCAACCACCCACATCCCTGAAAGAGGAAGCTAAGAAATGGGTATAAGCTGTCAGTTAGGACCAGGATACCCCCAATCCCCAAACTCTGAAATCAGCCTGATTGAGAAACAACTGAATACCAGGAGGGTTCCCTGCCCCCAATTCAATTAAAAATGGAATGTTCGGGACACCTACATAATAAATGGACCAAAACTGGGTCTGAAAAATAGGTTGGGTGATGTGAGAAAACTCAGTGGACCTGCGTAGCCCAGGAGGCCTTGTGGGCCCCGCCAACCAGCAAAAGACACAACGAAGGGCACCCAACAGCCAACCCCCCCTCTTTGCTCACTGTACTTGTACAAGCACCTACTTCTCACTCCTTCTGTGGCTACCCACTCAGAGCCCCTTGCCACTCAAGAGCTTTCTTATTCTTCTTCCTACCAACAAATCTCTTGCTTCTCTGTCCTTAAATTCTGAAGCTTAAATTCTGTCCTTGCCTAAGACAAGAACCAAAAAAAGAGTCCTGGGACTCTGGGCCTCTCCCAAAAAACCCAAGTCACCATGAAATGGGTGCTATCATTGTCATCTTTTTTAATATCTTGACTTTTAGCTTCACTTGCTACCATTTCACAGATGGAGACTCCAAAGTCTCCAAGATGGAGATGTAATTAATTTGCCCAAGCAAGTGAAACTGGACAGGTAGGAGCTTGGAGGCTCCATGTCCATCTACTAAACTACCATGCCATCTGTTCCCTCAGCTGTACATTGGGAAATCATCGCTTTTTGGTCCTGTGCCCCTGTCTCCTGATAATAGAATCCCCTCTTTTCTGTGTAGAACCTGTTCTGTACGGTTTAGTTGGGGCGCTCACTTGAGAGCAGTTATGGATACATGACCCAGGACTGGCCATCACAAACCTGCATCCCCAGGGACAGGCAGGTGGCCCAGGCTATCAGCCAAAGTTCCCTGTGGGCTTTTATATACAAACCAGTGGGAAAGATGGTTCCTTCTGTCGGGTTGCTAAGCCGGAAGGATGTGAGTCCATTCTAGATATGGAAGGAGAAGTGGAACCCAGCCCAGGCTGACAACCACTGCAAACCTAGAGGTCTCATTTATAAAAGTATATAATGCCCTGGTTTTGCTTAAGGCATTGTGAGCTAATTTTCTCTCACTTGCAGCTAAGCCTTCTAAAGAGTATAGATCAAAGTCAGTTGTTCCCAGAGTTTTTCAATTGATGGTACTCTTAGGGCTCTCACAATTACTTCACAGTTCTTCCAGGCCAAAAGAAATATCTACCAATTGTGTTTATTACCTTTTTAGCCTCTAACAACTTAATAAGCACCCCAACAAATGGATAACTATTGGAAAAGAATCACACAGATTGAAAGCAAAGAACATTTTTATCCAATTACTCACAGCATATGTACACCCATTAAGTACTGCATGACTTTTGAAATTTTGGAATCAGATTGGACAATTCAATCCTCACTTCCTAGCCCACATTCATTAGTACAGAGCCCTTGCTGAATCATAGCAACTTCCAAAAGCTCAGCTTCACAAAATACAACATCACCAGAAGGAATACTGAAGATTAATGCTAAGCTGGAAGATATCTTGAGCCTGCAGTATTCACAGAATCTACGCAATGTCAAATATCATTATTCCTGTCAAAATTTTAAAGACCCCACAGCATCCAACATATATACACACACACTCCTCTCCAGTCAATCAACTGTGGCTCAGTGCATAAGTCAGAACTTAAGATATAAAACATTCCTGCTGGGCG